TGAATGTTCCAGAAAGTTTTCTAATGCCCCGACTCCCGGATCTACCCTCTCCATGAGCTGTGTATTGTGTCATCCCAAGACACATCCCTCTTTTGATCCTGGCTGAGCCAAGCAATGCTTTGCAGGGCTAAGAGGTCTGCCTCCCTGAAAGCAAAACTTGATGATGATGGGTCAGTAGGGGGCCTGAGACAGGTGACAGTTGAATTAAAACTATTTTGGGAGAATCCCAAAGGGAGGAAAACACGTGCCAAGTAATTTTCTTGGTTGTGCACCCATCACTCACTGCGAAATGCAGATGTTTGCTTTATCTTAAGATGCAATGAAATTATTTACACACTAACTGCGTTAGTTAGCAGTTAGATCCCCTTTCTTGCTTAAGAGAAACTGAAACTTAACAATTAGAGAAAAAAGATGTCCTGTAATTAGACTTCCAGGCATGGGCAGGCAATCTCTGTGTGGTTCCTAGTATTCTCAAATGGGAGAGAATGTTTATGAAACTCCTACTATGCCGTAAGCCATTTATTAGAATGTTTTCTCTAATTGTTATATAACCCCTGTTTGCTAAAAGTATCTACATTTTTGTTTTATCCAAAGTCACAGTTAATATGTAAAATATATGGCGTCTCCCCATGAGACGTGTACCCATAAAACGAAAGAATTGCCAAAGGTGTGTCAATGTATGGACAGTCAGTTGGACTCCTTCATTCATCATCTTCACTGTAACCCACGTGTTTGATCTGAGTGTGTTTGATTAGTGACTCCAAGATTAGCAGAGAGCTACCGTCTCATCGTGATTCTGCTTTACTCAAGCAGATCTGGCTGAACTGCCTGTGCCCTGCCACCCTGAGTCCACTTTCTCTATCAAAGTCAAGTCAATAGCTGGGCACCTGCTGGGCGTGGTTTCCTTTATGCCCCAACCAATATTTCTTTCTTTCCAAAGAGTATTTGATATTTCACTTTACAGACATGGAGCTATTCAGGTTTTCCATTTCTTCTTCAGTGAGTTGAGTGTTTTTCTAAATATTAATAAATGTGTACATTTTATGTAAGTTACCTCCAATGATATGAGGTTGTTAGTAATATGCTCTTTTTTGTTTGTTTGTTTGTTTTGTTTTTTAGACAGAGTCTTACTCTGTTGACCAGGCTGCAGTGCAGTGGCATGATCTCAGCTCACTGCAACCTCTGCCTTCTGGGTTCAAGCGATTCTCCTGCCTCAGCCTCCAGAGTAGCTGGGATTACAGGTGTCTGCCACCATGCCTGGCTAGTTTTTGTATTTTTAGTAGAGACGGGGTTTCACCCTGTTGGCCAGGCTGGACTTTGAACTCCTGAGTTCAGGTGATCCACCCGCCTCGGCTTCCCAAAGTGCTGGGATTTTAGGGGTGAGTCACTGCCGAACCCCTTATTATCTTTTTATTAATCACAATGATGCTATTTCTCATTCCTGACATTGGTAATCTGTGTCTTTCATTTTTTTTTTTCTTTTTCTGATCTGTCTGGCTAGAGGTTTAGCACTTTTTTTTTTTTTTTTTCCTCAAGGAACTGGCTTTTGGCTTATTGATTTTTTTTTACCTTCATTGCTTTCTTCTGATTATATTGATTTTTGTTCTGATCTTTATTTACTTTCATCTGCTCATTTGGGGTTTCATTTGCTCTTATTCTAGTTTCTTACTAGAAACTAGAGGTCATTGTTTGAGATAGTTCTTTTTTTTTTTTGAGACGTAGTTTGGCTCTTGTTGGCCAGGCTGGAGTGCAATGGCGTGATCTTGGCTCACAGTAACTTCCGGGTTCAAGTGATTCTCCTGCCTCAGCCTCCCTAGTAGCTGGGATTACAGGCATGTGCCACCACGCCCGGCTAATTTTGTATTTTGAGTACAGACAGGGTTTCTCCATACTGGTCAGGCTGGTCTCGAACTCTCGACCTCAGGTGATCTGTCCGCCTTGGCCTCCCAAAGTGCTGGGGATTACAGGTATGAGCTACTACGCCCGGCTGAGATAGTTCTTCTTTTCTAGTGTAGATGTTAAGTAGTATAAATTTCCCTCTAAGTACTGCTTTAGTGCCACCCCACAAACATTGATAGGTTGTGTTTTCAGTTTCATTCAGTTCAAAATACTTTTGAATTTAACTTTCAGTATCTTTTTTAAAAATTTTTAATTTTTTGTTTTTTTCTTAACTTTTGATATCTTTTTGACTAAGGGTGTTTGAAAGTGTATTTTTTTGGTTTCCAACTATTTGGGGATTTTTCTCGCTACCTTGCTATTGATTTCTAATGTAATTCCAGTGTGGTCAGAGAACCTACTTTGTGTGACTCAACTCCTTAGTTTTAAAAGCTGGGACAGATATTAAAGCATGTTTTTATGCAATGGTAACCTCAGAGAGGTGAATTTGGTGAAGGAAAGAAGGGGAATAATTACAAGAACAAAATGTTTGGGAGGGCGATAGTGGACGAACCAGGACTCAGGTGGGAGCGCTGCCTGGGAAGCAGTGTGCCTCTTCTTGTAATGGAAAGCAGGGCATGGTGTGCTGTCTGGTTAGAGGTATGTTGAACGACTCTCAGGGGCACCTATTTCTTTTTTAGGGAACAATTTGAGGACATCCTCTCGCATGATTAGTCTGGGAGATATGCGGAAAGAATAATCATTTTACAGCGTAGGAGAATGAATTTATTAGGGGAAAAGACAGCATTGGCTAGGAGAATTGCTGTCCGTTTGGGATTGGGGTGGGAACATAAAAGAGCACAGTCAGCCTCTTGTTTCCTTTCTCCCCAGCGTCATCATGTGTTAAGAGCTGCTAGAGCAGGCTGGCATGGTTATTAATCTTGGGGATGGGTGTTTTGCCAGACTCACACAAGAGTGAAGGGTGTTTGCAAGGCAAGACTCGTAGCATCGAGCTATGGCCCTGTTCATTCTTGCATCTCTTTGTAAATTGTACATAACAGAGGTGCAAGTGCTGTCCTGTCTAGTGGTGATTGAATTGACTTCCTCCTCCCTGTGAAAACACCAATGTTGTCATCATTTGCAATTCAGCTCAAAATTTGTTGATTCCATATAATCTGTGCCCTTTTAGCTTTTCCTTTGAACCAGTTATAAATTTCCCTGGTTCCCTCAGGAGTAAAATACATTTTTTGAATACTACTTTTATATCTGTATGTCATGATTTTACCTTTTTCTGAAAATGTTATTTTAGCACCATGTACCTATCACCTGGCATAAGAAATCCTTAGCAATAAAGACGGAACCACGTGTGTGTCCTCCTCCCCTCCGCCCTAGAGGTAAGCAGATACTTGAATTTGGAACAATGCTTTCTCTAAATCTCTTAAAGAAGCTAGGTGTTATTTGTAAGGTATTAAGGGAAAAATATCTTTGCAATACAGGTATACGTTTCTAAAGTAGCACTTGAGAATACCAGTCTTGCTGTAGTAGATGTGGTTGTTTTCTGGTGTCTGTTTACAAAAACTAGGAAGAAATGAACAGCCCGACTGAAAGGTGAAACTTGTTAAAGTAAACCTCACTTTTAACATAAGGGACTAGGCCGGGGCCGGTGGCTCATGTCAGTAATCCCAATACTTTGGGAGGCTGAGTCAGGCAGATCACTTGAGGCCAGGAGTTCGAGACCAGCATGGCCAATATGGCGAAACCCTGTCTCTACTAAAAATACAAAAGTTAGCCAGGGGTGGTGGCGGGCACCTGTAATCCCAGCTAGTCAGGAGGCTGAGGCAGGAGAATCACTTGAACCTGGGAGGCAGAAGTTGCGCTGAGCTGAGATTGAGACTCTGTCTCCAAATAAATAAATAAATAAATAAATAAATAAAATAAGGTACTCTTCTGAAGCGGTTTGGAGAATTAAAAAAAAGAAGACAAAATAAGGGGTCTCTCCTTCTTTTCACGCGTGATCGCTTTTTGTTTCTCTAAGCCTTAACTCTCACTGGTGAAGTGTGAGAGATCGCGACAGTGTGATTCTGTGGAAGAAAGAGAACGGCGTGGGCACTTACTGGATGTTAGACAGTAAACACACACTTCTCATTACCAGCAGGGACGGTGTCAGGCCCATTTACAGGAACTAATGACAGCAGGGGCTGTTCTCAACACTATTTTTTTTTTTTTTGAGGTGAAGTCTCGCTCTGTCACCCAGGCTGGAGTGCAGTGGTGCTATCTCGGCTCACTGCAACCTCCGCCCCCTGGGTTCAAGTGATTCTCCTGCCTCCGCCTCCCAAGTAGCTGGGATTACAAGCACCCACCATCACACCCAGCTAATTTGTTCTCAACACTTGATCTCAATACATATAATCCTATAACTGTCATCCCAATTTGATAGTTGAGGAAACAGAGACAAAGCAAGATACAGTGTTCTGCCTGAGGTCAGGAAATCAGAGGGCAGAGCTAGGAGTTTCTACTCTCAACCCCCAGGTTTTGAAAGCTTTCAACAAACAGAAAAGTTGCAAGAATAGAAATAACAGACACCCATACGCTCACCAAAGTTCAACAACGTGCACATTTTGTCACATTTGCCTTATCTGGTCATCAGTCTGTATATGCTGTGCTGAAACACATTTATGTTGTCCACCTCATGACACTTCATCTCTACATAAATAACATTCCTATGGAGATCTGATAGGTCCCTCATCAGCTCGGTATTTCATGCAAGTGCACGCTCACTTTTCACACATTGCAACTAGCTGTTTTTCCCCAATGACTCTGGCTTTTTAAAGAAACCAAGTCAGCTGCCTTTGCCTTTGTGGTACTGTCCATGTTTTCCTAGAGGCTGGGAAGGGCCAGAGCCAGCTATGTTCACAGGCTTACGTGCTGTCAGCTTGTGTTACATAATGTGGATATGGGGAGTTCCAATGCATTGTTTGACCTACAACATTGAAACTATTGACTAAATGGCTCTTTATTTACTCTCTGAGTTCGCTCACCGAGTTGTACTGTCCCTTCCCTTGACATTTTAGGTTGATTGTACTTGAGACAAAGATTATTTAGCATCTAAACAATCTGTACAAATGGACACTTATAAAGAACCATTTATTCATCTGTTGATTTTCATTCATTATTTTCATCAATTACAATTTTTCCTCTCCCTCCATCAGAAGAAACCACAAAAGACCTGACAGATTTAGGTAGTCAACTGAGTGTGTAGGCTGCTCAATTAGTAGTATATTAGTGAGTACTAATTGATAAGAAATCTTTTTTTTTCTTATATAAGGATATTTATGACTTTGTAAGTGCCCTTTAGACCAACTCAGGACAGGGTACAAAATGGGGCCCATGGATGGAGCTGTGAGCCCAGCTCACCACTGTTCAACTCTCTTCTCCATAACAAATTGTCCATGGGGACCCTCAGCATCCGGGGGCAAAAGGGCCAAGTACACAGGGGTCTCTGCTCCTTCTTCTGGGCTCTTGGTGGCACTGGGTCCCGCCATGTCGGTTCTCACCCACCCTGGGCAGCAGGCATTCAGGAGGATCTTGTCCCCTTTCCTCTGCTCACTTAGTTTCCTGGCGTGGATCCTGGAGAGAACGGTGACGCCAATCTTCGTCACTCCGTATGCGCTGCTGGGCCAGCCTTCCTTCTGGTGCACTCCTTTCTTGGTATCCTCCACAAACTTGTTCATGAGCCCCACCAGCTCCTCCTCGGTGATGGTCTCACTGCGGAACTTCTGCTGCAGCTCTGGGCTGCAGCTTTTAAGGGCTCTGAGACTCATCATGCTAGATATGTTCACCACTCTCCCTAAGATACACCACAAAGCATTATGTAGAAAGGTGTGCAGCAATCCTGTAGAAAGGTGAATGCCAAATTTGCAGGGATTTTGAAGCAGAAAATTTTCATATGAGAGACAGTTACTGGTATGAGTTCTAAGAGGAATACGCATAGCAAGTGTGGTGGTAGTTGCATAAAGAACTTCATTCCTGCCTTCAAATTTTGGCTGAGTAGAGTCAGGTGAGATTTGGAAGAGCTGCCCTTTGAGGTCCTGGTGAACCAGAGCCTTAGAAGTAGCACAACTTAATAGGATGACAGGGCAGGGAAACAGGATAAAAGCTGAGAGTAAGCCGTACATGCAAGTACCCAACTCGAAGCCACACATTTAAATTTTTCTAAAAGTAGCTGCTTAATTGCTGCTTTATTTAATGGGTGGGTTCATCTCCTGTCCCATTACTTAGGGTAACCATTACAGCAGTTTACAACCAAAGAAATGTGATAGTCACATCCAGCACCTTGAGCACGTTGAAGGGGAGTTAAAATGGGCCCGGAGTTAAGCAGCGGCAGATTATGGACATCTCTGTGTACCATGCTAAGGGCTTGGACTTTCCTCCTGAAGGATTTTTGGGAGCGGCATGACCATGCAGACAGCATACAGGATGCTGGGAAAGGAAAAGACTCAAGACCAGAGGTGCCCTGTGAGGGTTTGCAATTGTCCAGAGGGACAGGTGAGGGCCTGCTGTAAAGCCGGAGAGATGGATTCAGGAGGAACTCAGTGGGCACAACTCCTAGGACCTAGTAAGTGATTATGAGGGGTGGGGCATGGTGACCTGCACGATCCTGGTGGGTAGGTGGTGGGGTCTGTGTCCCAGATAACTTAGGGAAAAGGACAGGGATCCTCTGGAAATATCTTAGATTGTGGGGAAAGGCATCAGAAAGAGACGGAAAGGCAGCAAGACAACTATGTGGTCGGGAGCTTAAGGAGTGTTCCAGACGGGTGACAGGTATTAGAAGGGCCTAATGAACTGGTGGTAGTAAAGGTTCCACCAGCCTGAATAACATCTCTCTGAAAGAGCAGAGAAAGGGTACAGGATGGACTCCCATGTGGAGGGGCATGGAGCAAAGAAAGAGCATCTCTCAGGAGACGTTTGAGCTAAGACCTGAAGGATAAGAGAGAGTCAGCCAGGTGTGCAAACACCAGTGGGATGGGGAGGACGAATGGCCATGGGAGTGGGAGAAGTGAGGACAAAGTCCTGAGGCAGAATGGCACCTATCAGCTGGCAGGAGACAAAGCACAGAGGTCAGTGCACATGCAGCATGGAGAGGAAGCAGGAGCCTGTAGGAGAAATCCCAGACAAGCAGGGGCCAGAGTCAAGCCCCAAAGAGAAGGTGCGCTGTTTCCCATCAGACTCACCTTGGGGTTTTATTAGAGGGAGTAATTCTGTGCACACATCTCGGGTACCAAAGAAGTTTGTTTTCATCGTCACTTCCGCTTGAATATGAAAGGGTGTGGGATCAGCAACTTTTAGGAGAAAAAGAGAACATAGTTAACACATTGTACCCACAGGGTAAAATTCTATAGAATGATACTAAAAATAAAAAATTAGTGCCTTCTGTCTAAAGTCTGTGTTTGGTTACAGTATTGTGCCAATCTACTGGTTTGATAACGTTCTAGTATTTTTGTAAGATGGTACCACTGGGGGAAAGAGGATGAAGGGCGCACACACTGGATCTTGGCATAACCATTTTTTCTTTTTGCAATTTATCGTTTATTTTAAAATCAGTTCAAAATTCATTCAATGGCCTTAAAGCTCAATTCAGAAAAACTGCAGAAAATCTGAAAGAGATCCCCAAAAGTCCGAGCCAGGGAAACACAAAGTTCCCTTTGGCTGGAAAACTCCCTTTCTCTAAGGTTTCTGCACTCCCCACATCTCCCAGCTCCTCCCTCTCCTCCCTAGGGAGTCCTTCTGGACCCCGCAGCCGGTAGGAGCCCCAGTGCAGCGCTTCTTCGACAGGAGCAGCCCACGTCGGGGAGGCCACGTCCCCTCCCCGTACCCTTGAAGGCGATGCCCGCGTTGTTGACCAGCACGTCCAGGCCCCCGTACTCCTTGAGCAGGAAGTCGCGCAGGGTGCGGATGCTCTGCGGGTCGTCGATGTCCAGCTGGTGGAAACGCGGGCTCAGGCCCTCCGCCTGCAGCTGCTGCACGGCTGCCTGGCCCCGCGCCACGTCCCGCGCCGTGAGCACCACTTCCCCCGAGAACAGCCGGCACAAGTCGCGCACGATGGCCAAGCCGATGCCCTTGTTGCTTCCAGTCACCAGCGCTACACGGATGCCGGACTTCATGGCTGAATGGGACGCGCGGGACACCTGCGTGAAGAACAGACCCGGCTCAGGCCCTGGAGATGCGCAGCTTGTATCCCAGAGACTGCGCGAATCTGGCGGGCGTGGGGCGCCCACCCGTAGGTTACACGCCCGGCCGCTGAGCGC